TAAACAAAAACAGGAATGTCGTTTTCTTCTTACTAGCCATTGACTGGAAACTTTAAATGACCTAGGGCCATCATCTCTAAATTTGGATGTTCTTGTGGATTTTGTAGCAATTGACGGGTTTAAAGGTATACTACCACTTAGGATGACCACAAAATTGAAATTTTTAAACTTGGTTGAATATTGAAAACCAAGAAGCAAAATATGCTACAAGTATTTGTACAGAAAACGACAGTCCTGTTTAACACTGTTTAAAGAAGAAGTCCTGTTTAACACTGTTTAAAGAAGAAGTCCTGTTTAACACTGTTTAAAGAAGAAGTCCTGTTTAACACTGTTTAAAGAAGAAGTCCTGTTTAACACTGTTTAAAGAAGAAGTCCTGTTTAACACTGTTTAAAGAAGAAGTCCTGTTTAAAACTGTTTAAAGAAGAAGTCCTGTTTAACACTGTTTAAAGAAGAAGTCCTGTTTAAAACTGTTTAAAGAAGAAGTCCTGTTTAACACTGTTTAAAGAAGAAGTCCTGTTTAACACTGTTTAAAGAAGAAGTCCTGTTTAAAACTGTTTAAAGAAGAAGTCCTGTTTAACACCTGTTTAAAGAAGAAGTCCTGTTTAACACTGTTTAAAGAAGAAGTCCTGTTTAACACTGTTTAAAGAAGAAGTCCTGTTTAAAACTGTTTAAAGAAGAAGTCCTGTTTAACACTGTTTAAAGAAGAAGTCCTGTTTAACACTGTTTAAAGAAGAAGTCCTGTTTAACACTGTTTAAAGAAGAAGTCCTGTTTAACACTGTTTAAAGAAGAAGTCCTGTTTAAAACTGTTTAAAGAAGAAGTCCTGTTTAACACTGTTTAAAGAAGAAGTCCTGTTTAACACTGTTTAAAGAAGAAGTCCTGTTTAACACTGTTTAAAGAAGAAGTCCTGTTTAACACTGTTTAAAGAAGAAGTCCTGTTTAACACTGTTTAAAGAAGAAGTCCTGTTTAACACTGTTTAAAGAAGAAGTCCTGTTTAACACTGTTTAAAGAAGAAGTCCTGTTTAACACTGTTTAAAGAAGAAGTCCTGTTTAACACTGTTTAAAGAAGAAGTCCTGCTGTTTAACACTGTTTAAAGAAGAAGTCCTGTTTAACACTGTTCTAGGATAAAATGAAATTTCTAACATTCCCGTAACCATGGCAATATAAAAACATAAATACAAGAATAATTAAGCTCTATAAACATACTGGTCCTCAAAAACTCAACTTTTCAACAATTTCTGGCTTTATATTTTTCTGAAGGCCTAAAAAGCTTATTTTTGAAACATCGTAGATGATTGAGAGGTCTTTTCTCTCCTCCTTCTGAAGATCATAACTAGGACCCCCTTTAATCTAATTCATTACAATTTCCTTTCCTTATTATTTTTGTTTGTTTCCATGGTAATCTAACAAGATTTATACCAAGGTCGTGTACTGGTCATGTTCATTTCAACCAATCAAAACATGTCATGCATAGTTCATGTCTAAATATCGACTATGAATTGTGGGATAGCAAAACCCAAAGTAGAGTGATATGACCAATGAAATTATGAGACTGTTGATACTTGCTTGTAACATTGATTCTGATTGGTTGGAGAGTGGTGTGTGATTGTCTGCTATAAATAGCTAGAAACATCATCAGTACACAACCTTGGTATAAATCTTGTTAGATTACAATGGAGACTGACAATAATAAATAAAGAAAGGAAATTGTAATATTATTTAAATTAGATTATAATAACCTCCTAAAGATCCGAGAATATAAGTTGTCACTAATTGCTACCATCTCATACTAATTGACCTCATGGGGTCAAATGAAAACGAAAGTTACTAATGAATATACACAGCAGATTAAAAGCAGATGAGAATGGTTGCTATGGCAATAATATTTTCATGGGGATGACTTAATGATCCTCTTCATTATCAACTGAAAGAGACAAACAAATATTATAAAAAACATCACAGACCTTATTCATGCATCGGCCATATTGTCACTTTACCACGTGACGTCACTTGCATTATGAGCCTCGCTTTCAATGTTCTCAAAACAAGGCGTGAATAAGGTCTATTTGAAGGTCCTAAACTAAAAGTGGGCAACGTGAAGCCAGTATCTAAGAATTTTATATCAAATAATTGGTTGTCTATTAGGCTAAAATCCACACAGTAGAAATTTCATAACAGCCTTAAATTCATGATCAATAGCCTTAATCATGATTATTAGCCTGAATCATGATCATTATAGCCTGAATCATGATCATTATAGCCTGAATCATGATCATTATAGCCTGAATCATGCCCATTATAGCCTGAATCATGATCATTATAGCCTGAATCATGCCCATTTTAGCCTGAATCATGATAGCCTCTATCATGATCATTATAGCCTGAATCATGATCATTAGCCTGAATCATGATCATTATAGCCTGAATCATGCTCATTATAGCCTGAATCATGATAATTATAGCCTCAATCATGAGCTATAGCCTAAATCACGATCATTAGCCTAAATCACAATCATTAGCCTTAATCATGATCATTAGCCTGAATCATGATCATTAGCCTGAATCATGATCATTATAGC